CATCCAAATGTTTGCAGGGTAACTGATGACCGTTGATGCCATGAATCCGCGGACGGACACCGGACACGAATATTTCGATGAATATTTTTGTTCTTGGTGTTTGACACTACAATGTTCAATGAGGCGGCGATACTTGCGTGACATTTATATGGTGTTACGAATGTCTGGGAATCTTGAAATAGTCTGCATGAAATAGTCTGCAAAAGTACACGGGCGTCCACCTTGGCAACAAGAGGGCTTTAGGTCTTAAAAGGGTATGACTGTGATCTGCACTAAATGATCATTAAAATGACCAGGTTAGTTCAAATCCCCCCACAACTATGGAACACTCCTCTTAATGCTCCCTAACGTTACAAAATAGCCTTAAAAATCCGCAAAACTTAATAATACCCCAAATGTGGAAACTCTACGGCCCTCATCGGATGTTATGGAGTCCTTAAAGACTTGATGATGCTTGGCTTTCAGTGATGTGCACATCACAACCCGAATTCTCTCCTTGAATTTGTGGGATCCAAACCGGGACCTTTTGATGGTGCGTCCAGTGCTCTATCCTCTGAACTAAGCGGGAAGATGTACTTCCCAAAGGACGTCCTTCCCGCTCAGCCCAGTTGGTAGAGTACAGTGCTGTAATCAGAAAGCCCTGATTCGGATCACAGCAACTCCAGTAAAATAATCCGGGTTGCGATGCGTACAAGACTGAAAACCAAACATCACTCAGTCCTTCCAAAGGCCCCATTACACCTGGGGATGCTAGGAGAGTTAACTGGCCGGAGCGTTGTATGCTTACTTACACACCAGACGGTAGCGAACGTCCCATCAACTTTGTCATCTGGTTAGGCGCATTTGTTAAGGCGTGACCTGGCGTAACCTTGAACGAATTGAACTCCCGAGCTATTTCAATCAACCAACACGAACCAAGCGACCTTTGGAGGAATTCACGAGCACTGACCGCGTGCACAATTTAACCATGAACTGCCGTTAAAATCGATGGACAATGAGACGAGGGGCACACACGAACCAAGAAGGCGCCGCAAAACAAATATTTCCTCTTTTCTTTTTCCGCGTCAAGCTTCGGGGGCGAAGCTATCGCTCAGTGAACCGACAGGGCGGAAAGTTGAAACTTGCAGGTCGGGTGTCAAGAGGTTTCAAATTGGGCGGGCCCAAATTTCACTACAACGTACGGAACGGTCTGGGAGCTGCGTCCGAAAAACAAAACTGGACGAACCGTTGCATCAGCTCTGTGCCCGGCGAAAGTTAGCAAAGGATGAGTTCCGTAGCCGAAGGACGACTTCTGGGATGAAAAGGTGAACAAAGCCGGCTCGTTTGCAGTCACAGGGTGACGCAACGGGACCACTAAACCGAAGTCATGGGTAGGGGATTAGCGTCTGAACCGAAGGCGACATGCCGGCCCGTTCAGGTGAGCTCGACCGGCGCCTATTCAGAGCGCGACATTTGAAGCCGCCACAGTGGCGAAACGGAAGGGCATTTGGTTTTCCAAGCCAATGGTGCTGGGACCGAGTCCGAGAACATGCGCCCTGCTCGATACGACAGGCATCTGAAGCCATCTGGCAATCAGTTAACAAGTGTTAACCACGTGCAGCGCCTTTCGAGCGAACACATAAGAACGTGTTTCTTATTTTCCTGGTTTCAACCAGGAGCAAACGTGACTTGAACAATCCATTCGTTGTCATTGGGGTTCTACGGACACACTCAACTACTGGGCCTATATGGCGTTGCCTGCTTCTCAACTCTTAGATTCTCTCAGGTTCCTTAGGTTCCCAGAGGCGCAGCTTGACACTTTCGGTACCCGAATGATCAACTAGCATGCCGTAATCCGTACGAGTTGGTGATGCTCCGCTGACCTGAGCGTAACACGTCGTGGGAATGCATCACAAACCCTGGCCCGTTCCCACCTGTTTGATGTGTGCTTCCTGCTTGCGTTTTTTGGCACCGCTCTTCCTGTCCTTGAGGGCCTGCGCCCGCTCCTTCTCATGCTGCACGAGCCACTGCTGGAAGGTCAGCGACGGGTCCTGGGAGGCCGGCCGGCGCCGGGTCGGGGACCGGGCAGCGGCGGCCGGCGGCTGGGCCGACAGCTGACCAGCTCTGGTGACCGGTCAGTGGAATGGCATCAGCCACTGGCCCACGGACGGACGATCGGAGGCTCATTAAAACAGGGCTCAGCGCGTGCACATCGTCCTTAGGGCCATTACACCGCACACAGCGTGCTACGCAGGCGGCCTCGATTGATCTAGTGGCCTGGCATCGTACAATTCTGCCCCAGTGCTCTTTACATGCATCATTATAATTCCTACAATATAAGTCACCTTATTATGCACATGCGTATTGCCATACCATACATTGCCCGCTCCTTTCCTCATAGCTTTTTTTAACGCGAACACCCAAACCACAAGCGCTGATACTAAAGCTGATGACATACAGTACTGAAGCCCAGGAAAGGCCCGTCACAGACACTACCCTCCCTTTAGCAGCGCGTCGGCCCGCTCCGGTACTGACCGCTGCTTGGGCCGCTGCCAGAGGCCGGCCGGCGGCGCTGACCTCGCCGGTGCCGAGTGTGGCCTCTGCTCGGGCCTCTCCGGCGAGGCCCCGGCCGGGCCTTTGACAGGGCTCGGCCGGCGGGTCGGCGAGGCCCCGCCGGCGCCGCGCGCCGCGTGCGCCCCCCTGATGGAGGCCACAGGAGCCGCCGTAGCAGGCTTCGGCGAGGTGGCGACACGCGGAGCCCGGCGGCTGGCGGCGGCCACGGGGCTCGCGCCCTTCGACGGGTCCCGCTTCCTCTTGTGTCGCGGCATGGTGGTGATTTGGTGTTGGGTGCCCGTCAGACCGAGAGACTGCTGCCGCGAGGCCTGTGGCGACGTCGGTGGCGGCTCCAGGCCGTCTCCGGACCAGCCGTCAGTGCTCGATTCACGGCTGGTGGAAGTGTGGTCGTCCATAGACTCCACGGCGCTGTCCACAGACTTCGGGCTGTCCGTTTTGCGGGCGTCCGACTGCTGACACGGGCCAACATCGTCGCTGCGAGCCTGGATATCCGCCTTGCCCTGGCTTTGGACCTGCTGGCCTGCTCGAGTGTCACGACTACCACGTACAGACAAAGCCACATTCTCAAGAGCGTTGGCGTTGCCTGGTTGGTCTTCCTCGCCCCCACTATCCTTGCGCTGCTGCGGCAGCTGTTGGCCGCACTTATCTCTCGCCAGGTCCAGCTCATCCTGGCCTGATGAGGCGCGGGCGCCGGCGTCCGGCTCAGGGTCGTCGTCGGACGGTGCCGGGGCGGTGCAACCACGCGCCGGATCCTCCCGCTCCGTCTGCGTCTGGCTACTCCGCACAGCCGTCGGCTTCAACTGCCGCACCGCCCGCCACTCGGTGCGCGGCTGCGACTGCAGCTCCGGCTCCGGCCGCCGTACTGGCTCCGGCTTCCGCACTGGCTCCAGTTCCAGTACCGGCTCTGGCTCTAGAACAGGCTCCGGCGCCGGCTTCGGCTCCAGCACCGGCTCCATCTGCGCGTCCCGCTCCAGCTCAGGCGGTTCCTCGACCGGCGTCATGCTGCTATAGCCGGTGTCCGAGCGGGCCGGCCGCACCACGCAGTCGGCGTCGTCGTCCGTCAGCGACAGAACAGACAGGCAATCGTCGGCCAACTCGTCTGGAGACTGTAAATTTTGAGAGTCACTAAAACCCCGCCGAACGTTGCTGGCATGAGCCCCCCTATAAGCATACGTACTTGTGGACGCGCCACCCACTGACTTCGACACCCCATGGCCACTCCTTGACATGGTCGTCCTGCTCTGAATCTTGGTCTTGCGGTGGACGCCGGCGGCCGCCGTCGGCGACATGCCCGCAACAGAGCCGCTGATGGTGGAGACGTGCGTTGAAGGGGGTGGAACGTGCGAGCTCTTAGGAGGATCGGGAACCTTCGGCATCGGGTGTGGTGGCGCGCTGATGGAGGTCTCGATATCAGCTACCTTCTCATCCGTTTCGTACTTGTTCAAGTCGAATGGCTCATCCTCGTCGTCGTTCTCATCTGCCAAAGAACAAAAGCAAGAAGGGATTTTTTGGATACGACTGCGGTTGTAAGACCATCCGCCCATGTATTCAATCCGAGGCTTTCCCGTGTGTCATATACTTTTACAGACACAGCTGGAACATAACTGACGGATACAAATAAAAAATTAACGAACGTTGCACACAACTAAAAATATGAAACGATTAGATCGTTTACAACAACTGCACGTGAGAGCCCATCATTTTTACAAAAGGCACAGCCGTTTCAGTGCAGATTTTTTATTTTTCATTGCTGGTGCATAGACGGTGCACCAAATCGGTGAGATCTTCATAATCATTGAACATCCGCAGCAAATTGGTATTTATAACATGAAACATGCACATGATGTTCGTAAAACCTTAATTTGAGAATATTTAAGGGATGGTAGAACAAGAAAATCAGGAAGAAACAAAGGAGGCATCGCACCATTCCATAGCCAAAGACGATCCACCCGTACCTGAAGAAACGCAAGGCAAAACGGAATCTGAGCACGGAGACTCAGATGCCCCGAACGTCAATGGGACCGGTGAGCAAGATGTATCGGACAAAGGAGAGGCAGATGCCCCGAACGTCAATGGGACCGGTGAGCAGGATGTACCGGAGACCGGAGAGGCAGATGCCCCGAACGTTAATGGGACCAGTGATCAGGATGTAGCGAAGACCGGACAGGCGAATGACCCGAACGTCAATGGAGCTAGTGCCCTGAATGTAAGGATAGATCAGGGCGCAGCGTCCAAACACAGTTTAAAAAATGCAAGTACAAGCGACACTGGAAAAACGGACGAGCCTGTAGACAATGACCCACAAACTTCAGCCAGTGTGGTTTCTAAAAAGTCGGGCCTTGCAGAAAATACTCCTCCGAGTACTGTATCAAAGGAACAGAATGCAGCACCAGAAGAGGAAACAAATCCAAACGAAGCGGTCCAACCAGGTCAAATTTCCTCAGATAACGCTCATGAAAATCAGGAAAATACAGAAACGAACGGAGCAGAAGGCTCTCCGCTCGAAGAAGCACAAGCAAAGCCGGAAGACTCTGAAGCTCCCGAAGCCCAGAGCAATCCTCCACGGGATGTTCGTAGTAATCACGAAAACAATGCAGAATCTGTACATGAGGATGCGGTGCACGAAAGCGGCGACGAAGAGTGCGAGGACGGGGAAGAGGACACAGAAGAGACGTGTTCTGAAGATAATTCCAGCAACCCGACTTCTTCAGTGAGCCCTGAAGAAGCGGCTGACGTTTTACAAGAATTGCCACCAAAATCTGTTATGTTAGTTCCGATCCCAGAACCAGATTTTAGTGTCTTAGCTGACAGAGAAAAGCTCTTTCCCCGACCAGCGCTATCAAATCCCAAGGTGACCTATCAGCTTAGCTGTAAACAGCTGGGCGTGGTTCCCATAAGCCAATACTTACGGTCCTTGGACACGTACGCCGAAGACCTCCGCCTACAGAGCTACGGCCTAACCAGGCTGGACATGCTTCCACTGTGCCACTCCCTGGCATACAACACGACCGCCACCACCCTGAACCTGAGCAACAACCGCCTTGAGGACGACGTCCTGCCCAACATCGAGGCCATGATGAACGACAACAGCTTCATTGGCGCAATCAACCTCAGCCGCAACAACCTGACGGGGCCGGGGCTGGACAGCCTGCGGGTGATGCTCAGCAATAACTACACACTGACCTCGCTGGACCTGTCGCACTGCCACCTGCTGGACGTTGACGCGCCCGCGCTCGCCGCCGTCATCGAGGTCAGCCTCAACCTGCGCCAGCTCAACCTCGGCTACAACGAGCTCTCCGAGTGCGGCAAGGTGCTGGGCACCGTGCTGACCGCCGACGAGGGGCTGGAGACGCTCGACCTCTCCTGGAACACGTTCCGCGCGCGCTCGGCACGGGACCTGCTGATGGGCCTGCGCGCGAACAGCCGCCTGCGCCGGCTCGACCTCGCTTGGAACAGCCTCGGGCCGGACGTGGCGCGCGGCCTGCGCGACCTGCTCAAGAAGAACACCACGCTGGCCGAGCTGGACGTGTCGCACAACCGACTGCGCGACCCCAGCATGCGACCCATCGCCATCGGGCTGCGCAAGAACCAGACGCTGGAGAAGATCTGGCTCGGCCACAACCCCGTGACGCCAGTAGGCGCTCTGGCTCTCATGAAGGTGCTGCCCAAGGCGAGCGTCGGTTACGTGGACCTCTCCCAGATCGAGGTCAGCAGTGACTTTGTGAAGATGAAGGAGAAGCTCGATCAGGAGGCGATAACTGTGGTGCATGGGACGATTAACAAGAACATGGTGCTTATCGCGCCACCCCAGAAGAAGGGCAGGGGTCCTCCGCCACCCGTAATTAAGAAGAAAAAGTGAACGCATGCCATGCTTTTTCAAGTGCAGTGTTTTAATTCGACAATGCCTCGGTGTAATTGTAACGCATATAACAGCGACTCTTATCGTGCACTGACTCGCGTTCGTGGTAATACTTTTGGTCAGTACAGATGCCAGTCAGTGCTTTTTATGTTTCGAATGCAAGTTCATAAAAGCTTGACCAGGGCACAGAATGGAACAATAAGCTATGTCTCGGAAGCATTGCGGGGGCATGTTAACGAGCCGTTTAGCTTCTTGTTGTTTTCGCGTCCTTGTGCGAGGGCACGTCTGGCGCGGTCCCAACCGCGCGACCCGCAGGGTCAACTCAATTTAAGGCTCTCAACGCGGCTCCCTCGAGGGTAGGAGGAAGCGCCTCAGAACCAGTTCCTTCTGGCCGGGTAGGCCGAGTAGGCTGTTCGGGGAGGGGAGGTGGTCAAGCCTCCCACGCCGCCGGCACAGTGGGATACCGGCCGGCCAATCCGGCGCAACGTCAACCTGGTCGGTACGCTGTACCCTCTGCGCGGCTTCGATGCGGCGGGTCCGATCCCATCTCACGAAGGCTTCCCGTCCAAGTGTCTGGATCAGGTGGGCTGGCGCTTGACACGAGCTGTCGTCATGCAGTGTGTCAGGTCACGGACGGCCGCTCGAGCACATGGTATGTCGATGACTGCGGGCCTGTGAGCGCCACGCCGCTGCCTGATTGGCCAGTCCGGCCACAGCCTCGTTGCTCTGGAGTCACCACGACAGAGGACACAGTGTAGGGTTATGGTCATCCGTTATTGGGTTAGACCTGTTGGACGGTTCAGACATTTCCCGTGCGATATGTACTTTTGTTGCAGCTCTGATCCGTTTTGCGACAGTTGGGCGTCGTGGAAAGAATCCGAGCATAGGAATGATGCGTGCCCGAGCTCTGGACTGTTCCGGCAACGCTGAGTTGTTTCAGTGTCGGTAGTCGTGAAAAATCACAAAACTCCTCGAAGCAGGCTTCCCTTCTCTACCTCAGCGACAGCAGCTTTGTGCCGCGCCGGTGGACCCCCGCTGGTCGGCAGCTGGAGGTGTGCCGCAGGTTCAGCGGAGTATCTTTGTCACACCAGGCTGATGCTTGTCACAAGCTGGCGTCAAGACTCATTTCTGCGAGCCGTCGGAAGATCCGCGGAGGCCTTTCACGGTTGACATTTGCAGCAGCGTTACCCAGGGTTAGGAGCCGCACTCATCCACAGTGCCTCTTCACGCTGATCTTTTGTGTCCTCACAACCTTCGGTCTGGAGATGGTTGTTCTTCTGTCTTCATTGCCGCATGGCATGGTCCTTTCGGTTTCTTCGATGGCTTCCAGGGAATCACCCTTTATCTCGCCAAATGGAGGAGCTATAGTGTGGGGTCAGTTACCCATGGTTTTATCGGGATATTTGTTTGCCCGTTTATTCTGAGCGGTGTCCTGGTGGTTTGTATTGTACTTTGAATCGTTAGGCGGACGGTGCCGTTGCTCTTGTTGGTCTCCCACTTTACTCCGGTGAGGAGATTTATTGACAAAGTCGTGAGGTCGGGGACCGATCTTCCTCCTATACTTTCCTCCTCCCTTCCTCCTTCTCCTTTTGTCACATCTGACGAGGATAGCTCATGTAGATATGCAATTGCATGCGGTACGTGCAAAATTTGTTTCTGGATTTTCTTTACTAGCCCGCAGAATGCCGCGGAAATAGTTTTTATCTCCTCGCCAATTGTTCGATGGCTTTTAAATAGCCTTCTTTCAGCATCCCAAAAGTACAAATCTGGTGGACAAGTCCAAACAATGAGGTGCCCGCTTCAACGTTAAGAGCTACCCAACTGCATTCTCTCGGGATGCGTGTTAAGCCACAGCTTGATCCCCTTGGCGATGTAATGCGGCGCGCTGTCCTGAAATCCAGGCACGTTTCTTATAATGCCGCATTTCCATTCATGAGCAGCCCCGACTGTGTTTAGCGCCTCGGTGCATCGGAAAGAGCTGCCCTCGCGAAAGATATACGTAATAATGCTAAACGAGGACGCGAGCTGCACGCATGTCACGAACCAACTGTCAGAAACAGGTAATGGATTTTGAAATGGCTCTTTTGAAATTTTAGTGAAAGTTGAAACGGTACACAGTAGTTGTATGGGAAGGAAACAGGGTTGTGTCCATGTCTGGCAAGTGTCTCAAGCATGCGCCCAAAGCGATAGAGATTCTCGCTGAAATCAATAAGGTGCTTCAATGTCGCAGTGTTCGCAGGACACTGCGACTGCAGTGTCCACGCCACTACACCCGCTGGCGCACGGTGCGTGTACCGACAGCATCACCGGTCAGCACCCGGCAACAACCACCGCCCGCTGTCAAAACTGCGAACTGCCTGATGACCAAGCAGCATATGGCTTCTAGCACGTAGTTACATGCGATGGATAGTCATGGCGCATGGCCATCGGAGTTGCTATGCTTTCAAGCTGAACAATGAAATCGTCCCTGGTGCTCGGAGTCTTGCACACATTAGACGTCTATTAAGAACGTACACGCCGTGCTTCCGCATAAGCGTTGACAACATGTTTTCCTAAAATTGCCCTGCGAACCGTTAATTTCCGAACCCTTCTTCATGCCTATGTTGGCGGTTATTTAAAAGCCCTGCCAATGTTGCGGGTTCAATGAAAACGAATATGATCAATCCATAGTGATCTATGGGATGTGCTTAGAGGACTACGAGAAAATGCAAGCTGTAAACACAGCAATGTTTTTTTATCGAGTGCTACATGGCAACATGTAAAAAGGCGTCATACCAGAATAGGTTATGCGGTAGACGGCAACCCACAAAAGACGACACGTAAAATAGGTGACAAGTCCAGATGGCAAATGGTAAAACGTGCCCGTGTTAAAATGGCGACGTTTCAAAATGGTGAGTACGACCAAATGAGGAAATAAAAACGTTCCAAAAAGATAGAAAAAAATATAAAAAGACATAATACAACAGATAGAAAAGAAGAAAAAAGATGACCGATCAAAAAACAAGCACAGGAAAAACGACTGTTCGCAACATAAAATGTTTAGGAGCTCGGAATACGATGGCTTGCAAGAGCGCGGCATGCCAAACTGAAGAATCACTAAGCCAACACTGGCTGAATGGCGACTTACGAAAAATTAAACTGTGAAATCGTGAATAGCCAATTTATGAACGACAAAACACTTGGAATGTTGTATGCAAAAGTGCCTATGTAAACATTACCCCTCTACTAAGGTGCATCCCAGAACATGGGTGTATAATGACAAGTTGTGGACAAGCACGGCTGGCAAAAATGGAAACAGGGAGCGAATCTGACGGGAAAACCCAAAATTTACTGCAGAAGTTCACTACGGTACTACGGCGTGTGCCAATATCGCTGGGAGCAGTGAGAGAAGTGGTGTCCGGTGGCACGCATTACTGGGTATCGGTTAGTTTCCGCAAAACCAGCCCCCTTTCCACACCACGTTTGTGTTTCTCACGCACGTCAAGCTTTCGGCACGTTCGCGTCGCCCTGTTTCATCTAGATTGGTCAACTTCCAGCACCACACGAATGGAATGATAGAGCGATCGCCCGGCTGCTGACGTGTCCGTTACCACGCTTTTAGGAGAATCAGATCAAGCAATATCCCGAAAACGAGCTGCATTTTGTACTAATGGCTTTTGTGGTACTGGCCCATGCACATCAAACTGTGGCTCTGCTTCAGCTCTGCCATTTTGGACCAGTTTGCAAAATGACGCTATTGAAAACAATTCCGTATGGAATTGACATGTCTCAGTGTTTGCCAAAAAGTACAAGCAAGCAAACGTAAGCTAAGTAGCTAGTTATAGTTGATAAAAAAGGAACGGCTTCAGTCAATAGATTTTCGACATTACTGGCTGAGAGTTATGTTAAGGTAATTGTTAGCGAGCAAACGGGCCGTCGCTGCCGGTGCGGCGGCGGCGGCTCCGCGAGGGTGTGAGCGGCCCCTCTGCCGATTGGTTCCGAACATCTGTGGCCCATAAACCCACGTAGGTTTATGGGGACGCGCGGGCGAGGACGCACGGTCCCTGCCGAGCAACCCACGTTCAGGCTCCGACGGCGCGGCTCGATGCGAGCCTAGTCCACGTTCAGGCTCCGACGGCGCGGCTCGACGCGAGCCTAGTCCACGTTCAGACTCCGCCGGCGCGGATCGACGCGAGCCGCGACAGCGTTTACGACGACGACGACGACGACTTCGGAGTGTGCGACGCCGCCCTTCCAACCCCTCTCTCACCTTTGCCTTGCAACTCTTTGGCTAATAGAGACTCTTTTCTTTCAACGTCTCATGTCGGTGGTCCTCCGAAATACTAACGAACTCTTTCGCACGAACAGTAATCACCTTTAATATACCGGGAAGTACTGGTAAAACGTCTGTGCAATACTAAATGACAATGTTAGGACGGAAGCCGGTGGTGTAGGCGGCGCTACCATACCTTTGATCAGATCAATCTTTCCTGTAATCGCGCCTCATCTTCTGCGCATTGTTAATAGTTCGCTAGGGTCCGGCAACGTACCGTCTGTACGAAAAATGTACCGTCCGTACAGGAAAAAGCTGCCGTGACGTCTTTGCATAAAACCGGCGATCAGAACGACCCAAAAAAGTTTCGGCATAGTTCGACCCTGTCAGTGGTAGCAAAACGTTGCGCGCGAATAGTCGGCAACCAGCCTGAATCCTACATGCCAAAACAGCACGTTATATATCCCGAGCAGCATGTTTTCTGCCCAGGTCACCCCACGGAGTCGACGGTGTTCGGCACTGTCAACTTGCTAACCAGTAACACAGATCGTAGCTTAATCATGACACTGGCGACGACCGGCACGTTGAAAGCTTTTGACAGTCTTCAGCCTTGCTGGCTTCTGGAGGCTTGGTTGGTACGGGGTTGGTGAGCCACTGGTTCCGTGGCTGGCTTGCGGGCCGTTCGCGGCGTGTCTAAGGTGACGAAACTGCACTCCCGGTCACGCACGGCGTAGATCAGGGGAGAATTTTAGGATCAATTTTGTTTGCGCATTTACTTATGGTCTTTTTCTAGCACTACGTCCGCCGACGACGCTCAGATTATTAACACGTGCCCTGGTGGATAGCTGAATATCCCTCGCTCGGGTAGGTTAATTTGGCCGCCTGAGAT